TTAGTGGACATCATTCAGTAAACTGTCCCGTCGGGAAATATGTCGCTACGTCACACAGTGGAGTCTCTCTGATTGGTTGACGCGGCGCAACGAGCTGCAAAAGTTCAGATTTTCTAACTTCAGCGATTTGCGCATCAAGCATGTCGAACGCTCAGATCATTCAAATCGCGCTGGAGGCACCGCAGCCCTTCCCGACGTTGCTTGAAGCGTGTCCACCATAGACTTTACATGTAAACTTGATGCTCCTGATACTGAAATCGCGTTTGGTGTGAACGCACCATTAGCTGCATAACTTTAGCTTTGCTATGGTTTTGTTATATATCTCTCACCTGTCCATCTCTGTCAGCACCCATCCCTCGGGAGTCGTCTTGGAACCTGCCACGGTCCCTGTGATCGAAGTCCTGATAGCGATCCTGGCGATTAAAATCTGAGCGGCTGTAGCGGTCGTCCATAGCCATCCGCTTATCGGACCAATCATCTTTCCTGTGACAAAACAACAACAACAAAAAATCATCCAATGAGCCGCTCCTCTACAACACTGACGTTACATCGATCAATGAGTACCGTCTACCTTCCATCCATGTCGTAAGGCCTCTTCACTGGGCGTCTGTCCTGTTCGTAGCGCAGCTGGTCCTGCTGCCTCCTCAACTCATCGCGCTCCCTCATGATTCTTTCCTGTTCGCGCCGCCGCTCGTACTCTATACGCATCCGCTCGCGCTCCAGGAACTGACGCTCCATGCGGTCGGCCTCCAGGCGCTGCTTCTCAACCTGGCAACGAAGCAACGGTACGGTTATTTCATGATCTCACAGGATGAGAACTCTTAAGGTTAGGAACAGCCGGGATAATAGAGAAATATATATAAATAATCTGAAAACTTTCCTGTAATTTCATTATATTTAATGAGAATAAAGCTAGCCATTTATTTGAGAAATTCAACTAAATATTGGCAATTTAAAAAAAAACAAAATTATTCTGCTTAAATTTCAGGAAATAAAAAAACAAAGTACTGCACCTCCAGCCAGCGTCTGTTATGCATCAAGTCCTTCCTCTCTTCTCGTTCCCTGAACAGACGGATTCGCTCTCGCTCTGAACGGTCACGGCTGCGGTCCCTGAATTAAGACAAAAATAATCTTTTTACCTTTTTATTATTATTATTATTATTTTACAAGCTGTTAGCAATCTCTAGCTCTCATTTATCACTCTACATGAAAAGCAAAGCAGAGGTACAGATATTAGTAGTTTCTGCAGGATTTCTTTGTTTTTCCTGTGCGCCTTACGGGATTCGGCGTCGTTCAGCCTCTCTGATGTCTCTCTCTCGTTGCCTCTGTCTCTCTCTCTCCCTCTGCTCCTTGATCTGATCGAAGGTCAGGATGTCCTTCCTCTCCTTACTGGAGGAGGCACGATCTCGACTCTTTGTGCTCTAGAGCAACAAACCAGAAGCATTAATAAAAGACATTTGAAATGTTCTTACTGGGCCTTGCAACAAGAGAGAACCACTCAACTATTAACTAGTCCGTCTGTGTAAAGAAGCCAACAGGTGAATGTTTTCTTACCCTGTCCCTGCTTTTGCTTTTGGTTTTGACGCTGACGACGGGTTCTCCCTTGGACTTGTCCATGACTACAGTCCTCTCATCTCGCTCTGTTAAACCAGAGAAAATAAACTATTAGTAACAAACCTTTTACATAAATATATGCATATATAAATTAATAATAATGTTTGAGCTAAACAAAAACCTTTGTCTTTTCCTTCTCCATCAGTCTTCTCATCTTTTCCATCAGTCCTGCAGGAATTCAAAACAAAAATTTAAACATAAATACTGCATCAAATCCATCCGTGTTAGTCGTGCTACAAAACATGTCCATTGATAAACCTAAGCACTCTGAAGCCAGCAGGCAGGCCTTACTTGGAGTCACTGGAGTGCCTCCTGTCAGCACCAGACTTCTTGGTGTCACTTTTATCAGCCGGCTTTTTCCCTGTGGGCTCGTTTTTAGCCTGAAATGATTAAATGAACAAATTCACTTTAAACCACAGAAGTACCATGAAACAAAAAGTAAAGATATGAAAGAAAGACACTTCTTTATATCAAAACTCTCAATTCAGGTTATTTCTCTCACAAATAACTAAAAAAAACTTAACCCTGTATGGTCTTTGGGAAGATGCTTTAATATGGATTTCAAGTGTGGGATATATTTAAAAAATTTCTAGCCCAAAGCAAATGTTATAGTCAGTTTTTCTCTCCTGGTTTCAAATGTTAGATTATGGCTAAACACAAACTCAATTCTAATGAAGTTAGGACACTGTGACAAACAAAAAGAGAATACGATGATTTGCAAATCCTTTTCACTGTAAAATCAATTGAAAACGTTACAAAGTCAAGATATTTAATAT